GGGGGGGGGGGGGTAGGACTTTGGCAAGATAGTCACTAACACTAGTGCCCCCCCCCCCCACAAAAAAAAAAAAAAAAAAAAAAAAACATGCACCTTCCCCTAAATGGCTTGACTCGTGCTCCTTGTCCAAAAGGCAAGTAACCCCTTATAATCGCGCTTCTTTCAAAGGATTATTGAATACACAAATGAAATCGGATTTGTATGACAGCCCCGAATCTCTTGCGTGAATGCTTTGCAGCTGTGGTAAAAACTCCACCTTTTTCATTTTGCGATGTTTGTCTCATTGTGTTGGCATAGCACCTAGTACACACATAACGTGCACATCGTCCAGGCATATCACGCGATCTGATTATATCCGGAACATTAATCTTAAAATCATATGGCAGTTTATACATCATGCAAAATGTGTTCATTAAACTAACGTTGCCTGGAGCCCACATATCATGTGCAGACTGAGACTGCAAACAATGGTATACGCAACAAAACTGATTAAATTTAGCAATTTGGATGCGAACTTAGAGGGCAATATGATTAATTCTAGTAGATGACAGATTCGGATTGCAATATATTTACGTAGGCGCGCGGGACTTAACCAACATATACAATTTTACATGTGTGAACTGTTCCTCTATAGTATGTTTGAAATATGAGACTATTTGGAGATCAATCTTTTTCATGTGACTGAAAGAAAAAAAAAGGGAGAGATTGAGAGAGAGAGAGAGAGAGAGAGATCACAAAACATCAAACCTTTAACATTTTCACCGAATTTATTAACCAAATTTATTAACACCAAATGTTTAACACATGTTTGTATAGAAAGGAAATTTAAGCGTAAACCCTTCTAACCATTAAGGAAAATGTTAACGCATAATTAAATTATGTCATTAGGTTAATTTTCGCCAAAACTATAATATAGGCAGTGCTCAAAATAACAAACTGATTACTAATTCACCCTGTACCACGTAATATGTCTTCTATCACATATGTTAACTAAAAAGTGTGCACTAATACACACATGCCATTTACCCTACAGCAACAACCTCATTCTATTCTGGGTTTGAAACACATTTACCAGTCCCTGCGATAAGAAAAGACAATAAGTTGTGATATTTCAACAAAGAAATATAAACAAGGACCAACACAAAACTCACCAAAAAGTTAACCTTCAGGTTGACACTTCACATAACATCGAAATCAGATTATCAACTCCAGACTTGCAAGTCTTATTATAACTGCAACTCCTCCTCTCCTTCTCTGACTCTCTAGAACTTGTTCCAGTAATTGACCTATATTTCTGCATACTTCTTTAGCATCCCTTTTTATGTCTCACATATAATTCAGTTCGTTTAGATTAGGCAGGCCCTGAACTATATCTCATTTCAACACTTCGCATCCTATGCTCTTTTAACATGTACATACCTGATGAGAAAACACATCTCAATACTGAAAATATGTAACTTCTTAGTACAATTTCATTTAACTTGAAAATTATGTTGTTTTTACAAAAGAAAGAAGAACCAAAAATATGACCATCATCACTTTCAAAATAGAATTCAAGTCTTCCCTGCTCCAGATTGTCTCTAAGAAATATATGACACTCTTTAAATTAGGTTGAAGTCAGTCAATTTATGGCAATCGAAATACTCTTCGGATATGATCCGAAATGACCGTACCTCATTTTAACAAAATCCAAAATAAATACTTTTTTTGTGTGCATTTTCAAAGTGACATTTTCTTTTAAATACATATCTCCATTCACCATGTCTTCTTTCTTCTTATATCGTTATCTAAATGCGATTATTCCCACTCTGAGACAAATGAAGAAGTCAACAAATTTGTATTTGTATGTGCGATTGACCATGGTCTTTATTGAGAGCTGATTACCATAAATTAACTCTTTTTCAATCAAACTGGTCAGCAAAGTAAATCTAATTAAAACAAGACAAATAACGATGAATGTAACTCATACTTCGAACAAATTATGTCGAGAGCGATCTGTAAGGAACCAATAGGGGGCCCGGCCGGGCGACAAAGTAATATCAATTGACTAGCAGTAACAATTCTTCCATTCGCCTGGCCATGCGAACGGGCTTCCCCCATCTCTTGCGGCTTTTTGCACAGACAAGAACGATCGAAAAGAAATATGAGAGTAAAGGGTTTCTTTGTTATTGGCATTCGGAAAACACATATTTGATTTGAAAGCTACAATAAACACCTTTACATCATCGCACACCATAGATGAACCGTCAATCCCCCAAAGCAAATAAACGAACGAATAGAAAGAAAAATATATTAAGAGCAATCGGAACTCTAAACGCAAAACGCAAAATATGTAAAAACAAGTTTGTAATAATGTTGAGGAAAGACAGGCAATCCATCTGGCAATCGGCCGTATCAAGTAGACTAAAATAGACATAAACCGCTGGTCAGAATTGTGCATGTTTTACATACACGATCCATCCACGTTTTGATCTATAAAGGTATGGCAAAAATTACAGGTTTTATTGGTAATCGTCTCCTGACCAGAGTTTCAGATGTATCTAACGTTTTCCACAATCAGCAGTAACTTCATTTAAAGGTAAAGACCAGTATTGGAAATGCCCTCATTTCAAAAAATGAAATGGAAGCTCTCATTACCAATCATGTGAAAGACTATGTTTTTACTATTATACATGATGATAAAAAATTTGCCGGGAAACCGCCTACTAATTCATATATTTGGCAAATTTGTTTCTCTCATGGACTGTGAGAGATATAGGGTAGTCCCATATACATCTTTCTGTGTATAGTGCTTGTAACTTTACGAAGAATGGGCCAAATTTCTTATCATTTTGATGATTCCAGAACCTTGCAGATGCTAGATGCTAGATGATCAACCTTTTCTGATCGATTCCACAACGTTTCTTTCACAATGCAATTGCATGATCATAACTGGTCTTTACCTTTAATTGCCTAAAATAGAAATTTTACATGTGGATGAATTCTAAACTGCTTATACAAATAAATACATTTTTCGGTGGGTAGTGTAAAGACAAAGCTATAGGTTTCGTGTTTTTCATGGTTTGCTTTATGCTCTAAAGATTATGGATGAGTATTTTCATCAAAGTCACACTCTAAAACCAAACACTTAAAGACGAACAAATATCAATGTATTTTGAACGGATTACGAATTTTAAAAGAATCAACACGACCTTTTCCCTATATAAACCCTTTGTCCAAATACTAGATACGAAAAGGAAAAAGTATGAAACTAAGGTAATACAAAATCGTTAACTATGAGTTAGAATGATTTACAAAAAGGATAAAGTACGATTGACATAATAAATGCTATATTAACACATGGTTTTCATACTTGCTAAAAATGTACTGACATTATAATTGTCACTTTACAAGTGGAAGCGGCAGTGTATAATGAAGGAATAGTATTTTTTTTTTTAAATGAAAAGAGAAAGCACTTATGTGTTCTCCTTTCCCACAATACATTTATATTACACTATATATATATATATATATATATATATATATACATATATATATATATATATATATATATATTCCACACCGTGTTGATAGATGAGAAGGATTTGTGCGATTCATCGGAAGGAGGGGCCCTTTGAAGGGCTGTTTTTTTAGAAAAGTTTGGAGAATACTGTATTATACAGTTACATCGTATACAGGAAATGCTGCGTCGTTGAAATTAGTTTAAATAGGGTTGACTACATAATAGTTCACTCTTCATACAGTTTGTTTCATTTGCATATAACAAAACATGTAAAAAAAAAAATTATAACGATAAAACATATACTACGGAATGTAGTAGTTAAAATGAAGATAAAGTTGATTTCTGTTCATTCAAAATCATTGTGAAAGAAACGTTGTGGAATCGATCAAAAAAAAAGGTAATCATCTAGCATATACGTATTAGAGAGTACTGCAAGGTTCTGGAGTCATGAAAAATCACAATACATTTAGCCCAGTCTTAGTATAGTTACAAGCACTGTACACAGAAAGATATGGGACTACACAAACATGGGGCATTAAATTCCGTCCCGACTTGTTTGATGTTACATGCAATATTTAGAATGCATTTGAAGAACCATGCTTTTCAGGGAACATTTGTTAACAGATGTTCTTCCACACTTGCATAATACAATAATAACGCTTACAAATGATTTTTCACCTCTTCCCAGAACTTAACCTTCTCATCAAAGTGCGTGCTTGAATACCCACGTTATTTGTCAAGTAAATAACCAATCTTTGCAATACAACCCCAACGAAATTTAGCAAGCTATGTGACATAGCACATGAACATACTCGAGATTGAGCATGCCAGGACTGAGCTAAATAAAATGAAAATACAGAGAGAATGCCGGCAGCATGCACCTGTGGTCACCACCTTTCCTACTGTTATGAATGTTGATAGTTTCCTTAATATAATTGTTACAAAATTGATCTGCAAGTGAAATTGTTTCTATATTGTACACTTAATATAATTCCAAGTTCAGTATTTTAATAAATCATACAACCAAACATCAATACCGGATGATGACGCACGTCATCAACGATTCCATTTCGACAAGGTTCATATAAGGCATCAAGCAACCTCATCATATTGGGTCACGTTACAAATTAATAATAGTGGAGTCGCGTACATTATGCCACTCCTGGCGCTCTGTTATTATTACAGTGGCATTAGCACGGCTGCCATTACAGCGCCCGAGCATTTCTAAGGAATTTATTCTTGGCAGGTACCCATTAACCTTACCTGGGTGGCGTGTGGTGACTGTAAAGATTAAAATCTTCAAAAAGGACATTAGTGCTGCGACATGGATTCGATACCCCTTTTCTACCCCCTTTAGTGGATCTTCAAACTTGATATATCAATTTAGCTCCAAAGGGTTTTACGAAAGAAGAAGAACAAGAAAAAGAAGATGGAAAAGAAGAAGAGAGGAAGAAAAAAAGGAAGCAAACAAAATGCAGCACAACTCTCATTTTTTTAAAACAAAGTTCATGAAATGTCAATGTTTATTCAGTTGTTAGGCTCAGATTCAAGATTGCTAACTGTCTTCTCACTTTTGTTTTTATGCTGGCTAGACTTCAGATTCATTGTCGCTAGTATTTTCCAGACACTTAATCTTGTCCATGAATAATTTCATCACTGAAATGTTTTCAAACTCTTCTAACCAGTTTCGTACCCACTCCGTCATAAGTGTTGGTGTAACCGTTGTAGGACTCTGGTCATCCCGAGTCTTCAGTCTAAGGTGTTCACGGAGTCTTTTCATTTTATCATTCTCTAGAATGTTGCATATGCTTTCGACAACGCTGGAACCTACTTCATTAGTATGATGCCTACCTATAAGATTAAGGGAAATCAGAGAAATTTCAAAGAATGGTACAGAACCTATTTTATTTGTAAGATAGTCTTTTTTGTCATGTTTTATTATGATGAAGCAGATATTTTAAAAACGTGTAGAGCCTTCATAAAGCTACTCCTCACCTACTTTCTCTGTATCTCGATCTTCTTCTCACAGTAAAAACATAAAAACAGGTATGCTTAAAGATATGAGAATCAATAATTGCCCGTTAAGAACCCACAGCACTATTCGATTTACATTGGAGGGTAGGAGAAGGTAAGAGACGATGCTAGTGGGACCTCTGTGTGTAGTGGTTAAGAGGTTTATAGTCATCATGGAGCTATCTCCTATAGCTACATGCAGTGATCGTGGGTGAGGTTCTTGCAGTGATTGCGTTTGCCCTCCCAATCAGGTATACAAGACATCAGTTACCTGCTAATACCTCAAAGTCAGCACATCAGTTGGGAAAAAGTTATTAAATATTTTAGAAGTACATTAACAGTTAAATTAGTAAATTATAAAAAAAAGTACGAATGATATAAAAAAAGATTATATTATGCATTAATTTCTCTTAATAGTGCTTACCGGCGAGAATCTTACTGGCAATCTCGGTTCTTCCAACAGCACGAAGACCCACAGCTAGCTCGAATCTGAAGTGAAGTGGCTGTAGTCTAAGCTGGTTTCTCCAGACCTTCATAAGTTTGAGGTTGTCGTATGCTCCTGTTGTTCCTTGACAGATTGAAAGAACATCTTTCTCCAATCCAAGATGGTCGACAAATTTTACAAGTTCTGCTTCCGACAATCCCGACGTCATGTTGCAAAGTTCACTGAGGCTCGCGTCATAACCTTCAGGCATGGATTTGAGAATTTTAAATGTGTAAAGAAAACAAAACCCAGGCTGGGGAAAAGTAGCAGAGATCTTGTACGAATGTGCTATTTTCGTGAAATGGATCCAAATGAGATATTTTGCTTACAAAATGAAAGAGTGACTCTATATAAAACATTTTCTCAGAGGGAGAATAGATTAAGGTTTTAATAAAATGTCCTTTTCAGAACTTGATGAAAGATAATGTTCAGTTTTAAGAAAGACGTAGAATTAAATTCACGGAAACAAACGAAGGTCACACTGGTTATTTCAGTTTACAAATAATTGTGACGAGGAAAACCATATTGTTAGAAACTATATGATAGCCGAAAACTGAACATCTAAATGAATCCAGGCATCTATTTAACGCTAACTCCTTATTAAAATGCGTATTTTATATGAATGCATACATACATTCATTCATATATATGCATGGGATTCTTACTTACCATAGCTTTAGATTACAAAGTGTAGCGTCCTAAATAGACGCGTCCGATAGTTATAAATGTACTTGCTATCGGTGAATAAGAGTGTGCAATTTCAGATAATCTGAATGACAGTTTGGCGTCAATTAGCCTAATACACGTCATATCGTTATTTTACCAGCTCCATCTGATAATGTTTATATTTATTTGGTTCTATCTCTACGACACAAAATTGTGTTTTTCCACATTAATGCATTTTGCGTTCCGGACAAGTCTTTGAATGCCAAAAATTCCTAAGCTACCTTAAATCAAGAATGTTTCTTGACATAGGTAACATGTTAAATCGGTTAATGTTCCTTACCAAAATATCCTGATCGAGCAACATCCAAGTAACCAAGATTTCTAATGGCAATACAGAAATCACGGCGGCGATGCTCATCAAGACCCTTCGACTTCTCCAATAGTTGATTCAGAAGATGTACAGTTCCCCTCATTTGTGGTTCTCCGACCGTTTTCCCTTTGTTGATGTCTATATCAAGAAGCGTTGCCAATGGCCATACGTCGATAGAAAACAACGTCCATGCCAAACGTACCAGCTCAGCTTGGTCAACATGTTTTGCAGGAAGGTGGTCAACGATGCATCCTAAATGGAAAGAGACGGAGAGTGAAATATGAAACTAGGGAGAATAACACAAAATAATTCATGTTTGAACGTACTCAGGACGTTCTGGGATCGGCATGAGAACGTTGTTTGTTTGGGGGAAAGTTCTACAGTAGAAATTGCATGCGCCTATGGTCATTCTAGTTGACTGAACGACAGCTGGAGAAATCGGAGAGACCAACAGCCGACTAGACGAACAGCACACGAGACCAACTAAACAATGAAACTAATCGATTAGCAAAGAAAGAAAAACAAAGTCGATCGACATCAGCTAGTGGACATTACAAAATTGTCAGACAGACCCAAAGATCGGTCTCGTAGGCTGTGCCTATATCAAATACTGCCATCATTTAGTATGAAATCTTCCAAGACGCGGATAAAAAAGTGGAAATGTGTTAGAAACCGTTCATGAAGTTTATGAATTTTTCTATCCAACGCAACCTTATCCAGTTCAATCCACATAATATGGTATAGCATCTTTTCCTTGCAATTACAAAACACTTCAGAATTTCTTTAACAATAAGAGATAAGAAAATAGAACGGCGATTGAGAAAATTGGGGGGAGGGGGGGGGGGGTGGGTCTATAGTTTTCTTTCTATTTCGTGTCTTTTACGGTACAAAAAAGTGAGCAGAATTTTGTACATTTAGCAGATATTATTATATACAATTTTCTTTTTCTCTCTCATTTTGAAATCTCATATTTTCCAATTTTGTTTGTAGTTTAAATATATTTTTGAAATACATTATAATATTTTGACTTGACAGGTGGTGTTTGAAAATCAAAACTGATAATTACCTGATAATTCCATAGCATGGAGAGCTTTTCTCAGCGTTTCACGGCGTTCGTCTCCATTACATTTATTCCTCCATTCTTTGAGCTTTAGTAGAGGTGATTGTTCCTTGTCGAGTTTTATCCCGAGTCTTGAGGTAAGTTCTTCCACTTGTTTCCTGGAGGTCATGCTTCCAATCAGGTTCTCAAGTTCATCATCGCTCACGTCAAATACTTTACAGAAAATAGATAATATTAAGTATACATACAACATCATTATAATAAGAAACACTCTTTGCAACTTGTGCTTCCGACTGAAAGCATAAGTATTGTGTGTTCTAAAGTAATCACTGCATGTTTTATGCTGATGAAATAAGGAAAGAACCCCAATTTTACGGGGATTTTCCATTACATTCTTTGAGCTTTAGTAGAGGTGATTGTTCCTTGTCGAGTTTTATCCCGAGTCTTGAGGTAAGTTCTTCCACTTGTTTCCTGGAGGTCATGCTTCCAATCAGGTTCTCAAGTTCATCATCGCTCACGTCAAATACTTTACAGAAAATAGATAATATTAAGTATACATACAACATCATTATAATAAGAAACACTCTTTGCAACTTGTGCTTCCGACTGAAAGCATAAGTATTGTGTGTTCTAAAGTAATCACTGCATGTTTTATGCTGATGAAATAAGGAAAGAACCCCAATTTTACGGGGATTTTCCATTACAATGCACAGTTCAAATCAATTGGCAAATACAAATTTTAGTTGTTCAAAGTGTATTATTTTTATAAAAAACAAGAACAACATTATAATTTTGATAATAATAATAACACTGTCGTAATTCTACAACTACATCTCGCCATGTTTAATTATGTTCTTCGTGAGGTCCAGAAATCAAGGAATGAGCAAGGAATATGTTGTTAGTACCAAACTTTAGCTGAGTTACCATCTTATGCGCTCAAGCTGACAAGGTATTTGCTTCTCCAGGGTGGAGAGTAGATTGGCATCTTTTAAATGTAAATTGCGTTACTACTACTACTAATAATAATAGCTCACATTTATAATGCGCCTAATACTTTATTTCTAGGCGCAGCACATATTATTACCTCGGTCAACGGATTCAGGCTTTACTCGCAACACAATTTCTGCACATTTTCCTCTCCCTGGGGAGTATTCCAGCCAGTCGCCATTTTTTAAAGGGCCACTTGCAGAGATTTGAGTGCCAATACACCTCCACGCAATATTTGTTTCATTCAATAATCTAGCACACTTCTCAAAGGATTCATCTAACCAGAGGCTCTGTTTTTGGTAAAATTCCCAAGGCCTAATGATCAAAGGTGTCGTACTTGTAGAAAAGGCGCTATACAAATGTTCATTATTATTATTATTATTATTATTAGAGTGGTTAACTGATTAACAGGAAAACGCAAATATCGTGGTATTGAGTCCTGACACGGCATTTATGTCTTTGAGCTAGGCATTTTATCTGCATTGCTCTTCTCTGCCCATTTGTGAAATAGGTAGCATGCATATTGGTTCGATTAGCGTCTGCGACTAGCTGGAATGCTCCCCCAGGGTGGAGAATGTACACTGTAATGTAAAGGGTAGTTATTGCATCCAAGGATGGAGTATTAATAATCCAATGATGAAGTATTAATAATAATGATTGCCAAGCAAAGTGGTCAGTTTATGGTAAAACGCTTTGTAAGAAACATATTTTTATCGAATTATTACCTATAACCTACTATCTATTTTCAGACAATTACCATGACTGTCATTCGTCTCCTTCAATGCATAACTATGAATCAAAACAAGGTCCTGCAGGGTATGTCTGTTAGATTCGTTGATATTTTGGTCTCTCCAACATCGCAGCTTCTTCAAATCGTCACCTTGCTCGTCAACTGAAATGCCTAGCTTCTCAAGAAACAACGGTGTCGCACATGTAGGAAGATGCTTCAGCACAGATGCCAGATCGTCATCGAATATACTGCTGCTATCTGTGAGTCAATCAAAATCAAATAATAGTAAAACAAAATTTGAATGGTTTAAGTGCTAGAGAATGTTCCTTTCGTTTGTCACAAGAAAACAGTTATTAAGAAATAAAGGGTTTATTAGGTACTCAAATGTACAACTAAAATCAAACTTACTGAAAGTCTCGGCTCTGGGATGTGGTCTTTCAAAAATACCTCCTGTTTCAACCCGGAAGCTGGTTGTCCCAAATGAATCTGAAAAAAGAAACAGAAATGACGGTAGTTCCTACCAAAAAACAAGTCGAGCTATAAATAACGCACTTGAATGTCAATAATAACTATATAGACATACTTGTCTAAAACCAAGTTAAAACTATTATTTAATGTAACCATTACCCGTCAAATCATGGCGGCCAATTTTAATGGTGGCATCATCAAGCCTGCATCTCTTCTCGAAGTTGCAGCATTCCTGTCCGTCTATCCAGTCGTTGACCATTGACTGAATGAGAACAAGATCTTCATTGTTTTCGTCCATGATGGTGGCGATTCTATTCTCATCGGTGATTCCTACGGCCTTAGCAAGCCTCTTGCAATGTCTTTCTGTCAGTCTGTAGACGAACCCTTCTACCTCTTGTGGGGATATCGCCTTCAGAAGATGTTCAGGAACTACGGAAAAAGAAATAAGAAGTCGCGAAATATCCAGTGTTTATACTGTATAAATACCTCTGAACGATACAAATAATGAGCATTGAAACCCAGCAGCGCTGGAAGGAAAAAATGAAGAAGAGTGATAAGAAGAGTGATAAGAAGAGAGGAGGAGAAGATGAACATCATAATTACATGACCAAACCCCTCTTCTTGTCTAAGTCCCTCACATTGTGTCATATGTATGTGTATACATTCGTCTAAAAAATGCACTCCTCAGTGAGATGTAAATAATATTAAGCCCATCCATTATGGAACAATCACAGTATTACCATTTGGAGAACCACACATCGTCAAACACAGTGTGGTAGCACAGCCTGAACCACATGTGGGCCACATGTGGTAGCACGCTCTGGGACCATACAAATAATTACCACATAGTCTACCACACTGTTGCATCCACCACAAAGTGTACTTCACCCTCCAGATGATGTAAGTAGCAATTATACTAATTATTTTTGCCCTTGCAACAATTAACACATTATCACTGAATATATTTTAAGTTTATAGTTAACATTTCCCTAATTTATGTTTAATTAAAATGTAATTTATGCACCCCATATCCATTATGTAAATTAACTGGAGTCAACTGGTTCACCTGGAAATATACCCTATGGACCATTTTTCAATTGGTGCAACTGGAGATATGCCAATAGTCAGGTATAAACCGGTTCAACTGGAAAAAACCCACATACTATGTGGATATTACTTTGTGGTAAACCACATGGTCTACAAATCTCACACTGACAATATACTGTGAACACAGTGTTTACACATAGTGATTCATAACACATTGTGGTAAATATGTGGACACTGTGTTAAATATGTACGAGAATGTGGAAGACCACATGATCTGAAGCCCTAAACGGTGACATTACTGTGATAACAGAGTTTGCACATCGTTAAATGCATACCACACTCTGTGTCACTCTGTGTTAAATATGACCGATTATGTAGTAAACCAAACCCCACACTGTGAGAATAATGGGAGCACAGAGTTTTCACAAAGTTAAAGCCATACCACACTGTGGTAAATATATTTCACCCTGTGTTAGATATGTACAACTCTCTGGTAAACTTCATGATTTGAACCCCACACTGTGACAATACTGTGAACACAGAGTTTACACATGGTTCTTTACATACCACACTGTGGTAAATGTGTGTCACCCTGTGTTAGATATGTACGACTCTCTGGTAAACTTCATGATTTGAACCCCACACTGTGACAATACTGTGAACATAGAGTTTACACATGGTTCATTACATACCACATTGTGGTATATAATGTGTCACTCTGTGTTAATATGTACGACTATGTGGTAAACCACATGATCTGAACACAACATCGTGACAATACTCTGACCACAAAGTCAACACATAGTTCAATATATATATATATATATATATATATATATAACTGTGATAAATATGAGGTACTCTGTGTTAGGTATGTCATTTTTTTTAATAGTATGTGGTAAACCAAATGGTCTGAAACTCCACACGGTGACAACAAGGTGAACACATAATGTCCACACAGTTTACACATTATTGATTATGTGAACATAGTGTGGCAACACTGTGCTTGTTCCATAAGGGATTGCCTTCGGGAACCGAGTGGTCCCTGTATTATGTCTATGGGATAGAGGGAATTCAATGAAAACGACAATGTAGTCAAAGACAAATTTAAAAAAAGAATTGATGCCGATGAGTGTTCATAACCCCACCCAGTGATGGCGAGCCATGTACATATAAACATACCTTGATCCCTCCGCCGTTTCCTCCAACGCCAAAATTCGATGATGGCAACGCAAATAGAAATCGCGGCCAATAGAGCAATGAGTACGATGAATGGTACAACTGCGATTGAACGAGAACAAGAAATATTTGTAAAGGATCATGAAGCTCTCGATTTATTCTTCTTCAATGGACATTTGTAAAGTCTGATGCTTGAAGTGAAATTGCTTTATTGTCGTGTACCTTTTTATACAGTGTTTATTATAACACATCCCTTTAAATTCTTTTCTTCCAATTGTTTGTGGTTTTTTTTTGTTAGATTGTTGAAATAATGAAGTAGAATAATTCACAGATTGTTACCTATTTTAGGTGCAGTTCCAAATGGGGTCATGCGGGAAGTGGTATCTGGTCGTTTAACTAAAACAGTTGCTGTTCTCTGCTGTTCCAATCCAGGAATATCAGACGCGAAACAAACATAGCTGATTTCACTGACTGTAGCGTTCGCGTATATGGTTTTGTTTTTCGTCCCGTCGAGATTTGTTACTTCAATCGTGTCTTTCGCGTGAAGACTTGTGGATCCATGTAGAAAGTAAAGATCTATATCTGGATAGTAACCTGAAGCAGTGCAGCTTATCTCGACTGATTGGCTCGTTGAAATAGTACAGGTGGTTTTAATGTCGTTTCGAGAGATCGTTTGACATTCATTGATGATAGGGAAGGGTTCCATCGGGGGAGCTATAATGTTATCAGAAATAATGTTGCCAATACATTTTTTCCCCCTGTAAAAGAGGAACTACAAACGAAATTTTTTTGCTAAAGATATATCCGTAGCAATTGTTAACGTAATACTTCGCATGCAAATAATCTGGTAACATTTAAAGAGTGCTTTCTGAGTCCCCATTTTCCCTCCATTGTGCTTCTTTTCATTTATTTAATCATCTTAGAAATGACTGACATATATCTTATTAAACAGACATTAAATAGAGTAATAAAGCCTAGAATAAACGTGAGAGGGAGCGTAGCGATTACACAAAGGAATATAATTATGTTATGTTGTACAAGCGTAGATGTTGGATTGAATGAAAGGTGCGGTCGATTCTGGTGTACTGGATATACCTATGGACATTTATAAGGTGCTATAACTAAAGCATCTCTTTATGACTTCGCATAATTATATTCTTGAAAGATGATTCTATAGCCCGGCGCACACTACTCGACTTGACTGCCATCTTATTTTTGAAGAATTTTCAATGGCATTTGATATGATCGCTATAAAACTTGTAAAATTATTAAGATCAAGGATCTCAATATTAAGCCGTCGGTACCCTGGTTGCTTACTTAAAAGCATACGCATGCTCTCTTAGCAGTCAGGTAAAACAAAACAAACATGAGTAATACGATCTGAAAATCAGGAAAAAACTTAATCGGCTAAAAATCGAAGTGACGTCAGACCAGTAGTGTGATTGTCCTTAGGAGAATCGTGTAGGATGTGAAAGGCTTAATGCATTACTTACAAAATACACTGATGTCCGTAAAGTTGTGTATCAGTCCCCTCTTGTAACTTGAAACTCTACAGATGTATCGACCTTGTTCTGCTATGCTGACTTCTTTGATGACCAAAGAGCGGTTTTCATTCATCTCCATGATCTGACATGGCCTTTCACCTTCACATAATCCTGTCACATTATCAGTTGGAATCCATGAAACAAGGTTTGGTGCTGTTCTTGGGTCACCCCCTTTCTTCCAATAGACAGCTAAAGGTGTCCCACGGAACTGACATGTCAGTACAACGCTGTCTCCTTTGCGTACCGTTTTGTGTAAATCAGTGTACACGAAACCATCTGGTACATCGCACAAAACACCTGTTTCAAGTCAACAATGGTTCCAACATATATTAGACCTCTACACACGGATTTCACCCATACACTTAACCCAGATAGCAAAATGTTGTGGGGCCCATCTGGATTTTATCTGGTTACAACTGGGCTGGCCCACTTTGCCCAGATGGGCCAGCCCATCTATTGCCCACTTGGCCCATTTGGCCCAGATGGGTCCCAGATAGGCTCCTTGTGGGGCCCAGCAATCTGAAACCCGGGTTATAGAAGGGCCCCAGATGGGCGGCCCAGATTGGACCCACTTGGCCCAGATGGGCCCACGTGGAACCCAGATGGGCCCCACAATTTGCCCATCAATATACACAAGCGTTACCTATTGGGCACCAGATAGGCCATGTGGGTTTTATGTGGGACCTACCACATTCTATATATGGGTCAAGTGGGTTCTATATGGCCCCATATGGGCTATAAGCGGGTTTATATATGGGATCCATTTGGGCCAAGTGGGTTTGATCTGGTCCCATATGGGCCAATGCGGTTTTAAATGGGCTTCATATCGTTTAAATTTTTACCCAGTTGAATTCATTTATCCCATTTCAATTTCCAGGGTTACCAGTTGGGTTAAACTGGACCAGTCGTACCATTTGGCACAACTTTCAACCAATTAAAAGCTCCAATTAGCAAACTTAATTAGTAGCTTATGCAGCACTTGTACTAATTAATTTTGCCAATGGCAACAACACATCGTCTCAAATTTCCAATGTAAAGGCATTGGTGTTAAGAAGACTTGGTTATTTTACTGTGTTGAGACATTTCCACGTACTTGTATTTTATTGAATCTGTTTTAGATCATAGTTAGTGTTTTTCCTAATTCATGTTTAATTGAATGACATTTAAACAAAGAAGTGAAATGTCCTAAATATTAGCAATTTACATTTTGTAGTATTTTCGAAATGAATTGCATATAACTAAATCATCAGTAATTAGGAAATATCCTGTAAATGCAGATAAATTGTAAAAAAAACATACATGTCCACGCACCCCATATTCATTATACAAATTTTGGGATATATTAGTGGGTTTTGGGTGGGAAGGCCCATCTGGTTTACATCTGGTTTTCAGCTGGGCGAAGACAATGTTCGACGTGCGATTTTCACCACCCAAAACCCACATGGGGCCATATGGGGCCTATATGTATTGGAACTTGTGGGTTCTGGATGGGAAGGCCCATCTGGTATACATCTGGTTTTTATATGGGCCACTTGGGCTCCGTATACCTGTGGGTTCTTGGTGGGAAGGCCCATCTGGTATACATCTGGTTTTCAGCTGGGCCCAGCCGATGTTCGACGTGCGATTTTCACCACCAAAAACCCACATGGGGCCCACATGGGGCCCATATGCGTGGGTTCTGGGTGGGAAGGCCCACCTGGTATACACCTGGTTTTTAGCTGGGCCC